TTCTAAATCAAGATTAGGGTTTACTCCATACCCTAAAACAACAATATGCAAGGGGTAGTTGCATGCAAAACCCACAAAAAAACCTGTTGGGAAGCCCTACATTGAATGTTGATATTTCCATCTTCTAGGGTCAAAATCCTAGAACATCGATAAGAATATGTTGAGATGTTTTCATGTATATAGCATAGCAGAAGAAAAAAAAGTAGAAATTTGAGCTTTTTATCTATTTATTTAGGAAATAAAGCAAGGATATAGTTCAATGGGTTAGTCAACTCTCTGGGAGTATTAGAATGGGATATATTTATTAAAGAATTTTGCATGAGGTTCAGGGGGTTAGTTGGTATTGATATTATAAAAGAATTTAATAAGTAGTGTAAGAAGATACAATGATTAAATATTAAGAAAAAATAGAATAGATGAGATCACTCTTACTCATTGAGAACCCTAGACATGAACCCATATAAATCTCTTAACCCTCTAACTTCTCAATCTCTTTCTATCAATAAAACTTGAAGCTTTTATATAAGGATTTCATACCATTCATTCAAGAGACCTACAAAAATAGCAGTTTTTTACAGAGCTTAACAATAACATTATTGCTCCTATCCCCAAAAGTGAAAAAGTCGGAGCTTTACCTCACTCTAAACACAATAGTCTATACAAGTTGTTTATAAGATGATCACCAAACTAGTTAGTAACCATATTGAATACCTCTTCGCAATTTTGATTTGTCCTTTCAAGAAACTTTTATAGTAAACAACTAGGAGCCTATAATTTTATCAAATTTTTTCTTTTCATGGATGATTTTGTTATTTTTACTAAAGTCTTTATGGAATAACTAGAGATGATCATAAACACATTGAAGTAGTTTTGAAATATCTTCAATGAAAAAGCCAACTTTGTTAGGTAAAATATTTTCATACTAGTAGTCTAGGCATGTACCTAGGGATTAATATTAAATCTGCCTCGATGTCTCTTCAAGTGTACAATGGGGACTACATTATGCACAACTCAATTTGCAACAACTTATAGGGGGTAAGCATTAGTCGAAAATAAACAACTAAATTGATTGAACCAAAAAGAAAAAAGAATGATTTGTTTAGGGGTTTTTTCAATTTATTCCAAAAAGTAGTCAATTTATATGTATTGTTCTGCCAGTTTTCAAACATTTTTTAGGAATAAAAACATATTGAAACACTAAACTTGATTAACATATATCAATTTTTAATCTTATATATCATATATTAATTAACATTAACTATATATTTAAATATATCAAATTATATTTGTTTATGTATTATTAAATTGTTAATCTTAATAAATAATTTGATAACATTATCAATATTTACATAAAATATAGGGAAAGTTACCAAATTAGCCACTGAAATTTGACATGTTATAATTTAGTCACTAACATTTCTTTTGTTACAATTCGATCTTCAATCTTTTCTTTTTATTTCAAGTGGTCGATTTTTATATTTAGTAATAGAAAAAATTAAAATGATTAGATCATATTTAAATACTTAAAAAAAGTAACTCAAAATAATGACTGACCAATTAATTAAATCAATAAATTAATCACAATAAAAAGATCTAATATCATTATTAATCTATTAATTTAATTAATTAGTTAAAATTATTTTTTTGAATTATTTTCTAAAATGTTCAAATATGGTCTAGTTGCTTTAAAAAAAAATTCTTAAGAAATCGAAAGGAAATAAGCATTTGAATTAAATAAAAAGATATGAAATTAAATTGTAACAAAAAAGTATTAGATACCAAAATATAACCAAATGCCAAATTTTGGAAACTAATTTGGTTATTTGCTTTAAAATATAGTATAAATTAAATTATTAAAAAAGTTATAAATACATTAACATAATTTTAGTTTATTCAGTTAAAATCCAATTGAATTGAATTGACCACTTCAATTAATTTAATTATTTAACTAATTGATAAACTTTAATTAATCCAATCAATTTATCTCTATAGTTCAGTTTGTTCAATTTTTAAAATTTTTAAATGAAATGATTAAACCAACAAAATTTTTGTCCCTAATAACCTAGATTGCTCAAGAATTAATAAAGAAGAGCACCACAAACTTCATCTAGAGGGATTGAATAAATGAAATCTATAAGATTTCCTAGGATGAGTGTTTTGACATTAGAGACTCTAAGTTTGCAAACACTTATCTTCTATACAAACTTGGATTAAAAAATTTGCATTCAATAAATAATACACATTTGTTTATTTTGTTGAAGCTCGAATATCTTAAATATTAAATTTTTTTTTTTTATCCATAGAGTTATCTTTGCAATTCCTTGATACAATAGAAGCTAGTAACATGGTTCGAAAAGGAACCATCATGTATTTTTTATGAGACCTATGTATTTCTTTAGAATAATTAGTTAAGTGAGAGATAAGTTAGTAATTACCATGCAGGTTCTTAATATTCACATTAATAAACGAGACGTACACATGAAACTATATCAATAATATCTGGATGCATCATTTTAGGCATGCAATTCCTTTTAATATTTAAAAAGTTGTTTAATAACTGTTGAGATTTTATAGATTTTCTACATGCTATCAAAATTTATCACGCTAGAATAAATGAAAATGTTTATCAAAATTTAGAAAAGATCTTTAATTGTCAGCATAGCAATTGATATGAGCATATAGATGGCTTAAACTACTACTCAATAGACCTAGCAAGTCATGTTTTGATCCATTGAAGTGAGATAAAAGATTCAATTCAAGCCACGCAAAGTCCATATGGAGACAAATCTATGATGAGTCCACTTCAAGGTACTCTTGGGCTTTATGAATAAAGTATCACTAAATCATAGGTCAATAAATTCAAAGAAGATTTCAAGTCTATGTTAAAGGATGGATCCATTACGAAGAGAGACTTCGGCCGAAACTAGAAGCCCATAAAATGAGGATAACAAGCCCATTTAGCCAAGGGCATGATGGTGTATATGCATCATAATTGGAATGGAAGTGGAAACCATGGAAAAAGTGCAAGTGACCTAGGACAAATTAAGAGGCTATGAACATGCTTCAACCCCAAGTTCTCATCCTATAGAAGTAAACTATTAAATTCTCAAAAAGGGACGGGAAGACGAAGGTAGCGTCTTTTCCAAATTAAGTTTGGTGTTGACCTAATGGATGTGTAAGATTAAATATTTAGGTCTTCTTGCAATAAATGTTAGTTATCCTACAAACACCTGGTTTCTTGGTGGGCAAACTAGAAGGAGGATTCAAACATGGAAAATAATAATGGTAGAGCAAAATGTAATAATGAAACTTGTGGCACCATTCAATTCCATCATTATTGCAACAGATTTAAAAATTAATCATTGGAGTTTGATGGAGGGAAAAAATAATAATAATAAGTCAGCTATATTTATCTCAAATTATGCTCAAGATTGATGATTGATTATGGTTTAGAAAGTTTCAAAGTTTTGATATAATCATTTTGGTAAAACATACCTAGAGTTTAGTCTCAAATCCTCGATATTATTTTCGATCCGTTCAACTAAGATATGGATCTCGGCTATTTTTAGAAGTATCTTCTCATTAAATTTATTTAATTTTTAATATAATTGAGAAACATGTAATTACCTAAATTTAATTAATTAATTTATGCGGTAACCACATAATGAATTACTTGTTCCTGTAGAGTTGGCAAAGAATAAGAGACAAAATTAGAAGAAGAAAAAAAAAAAAAAAAAATTGCCCATGCATCTAGTTACTTCAAACTCTGAGTCTTGAGCCTAGCAATTAATTTAACTCTCACTAGTTAAATTGCTTTTCTTTCCCTAGTAAAAATAATACATTGCTTTCTAATGATATCTAATTAGTTGCTAATTACCGATTTGACGTAACTTGTATAGTAGTATGTGACAATTTAGAGGAGTCGTGCTAATGACTTTTCCTTCATTAAATATATGTTAATTTCATAATTTAGTTGATTCTTGAATTGTTTAAGCTCTTGTAAGTAAAATATGCTTTGAATATCTATCTTGTCGACCAAATTAATTTCAATTGGACTAGATTCTGTTTAAAATGCATATACATGAAAGTTTATAAACAACTTATGCATTAATAAAATTAATCATCTATTTAAACACAAAATTTGAAATATCTAAGTTAAGTCAAAATTATCTGAAACTTAGATCGAGTTTTGAAAATTCTAAACCTAACACGGTTTAATTACTACAAAATAAAACAAACTATATAAACACAATTTGATTATGTAATGATAATTTACTGTATTAATAAACACAAACTACATAGTTCATAATATTGTTAATTAGGAAATAATTGGAGGACGAGTGTTGGCAGCTGCAAGCATACACCCAACTTGAAGTAGCTGCTTGCTACAATCTTCTTTATGAACAATCACTTCTATGAAGCACAAACAGTCTTTTTTGTCTCTCACTGCAGTCTCAAACACTTCAACTAACTCTTCTTCATTATGTACCTTAAAGGATTAGGATTAGGATTAGGATTAGGATTAAAATTAAAATTAAAACTAAAATTAATATATAATACTACTATGTATATACGATTATACATACATATTGTTAATGTGATTTGATCTTGAAGATGTCTTACTAGCATTTTGATGAATAATTTATTTATATTGTAGAAGATATTTTATATTTATTTTAATAGATATTTTATATTTATTATAAAAAAATATTTTAAATATATTCTGAAAAAAATTTAAAAAAAAAATTCTCATAATTTCTCTAAAATTTTATTACTAACATACTCTTAAATTATCATAATGTAAAAAAAAAAAAACTTTGTATTATCATTTGATGTAAATATATTTGTTGAATTACGTTAAATTTTATATATTTTTTTTATTTGTGTTCTACTTCATGCGTTCTGTGGATTAATTTTTGCAACAACATATATGTACGATTAGACAGCATTATATATGAGTGTCTGTAGCCCACCTTAGCCGTCCAACACTTGGCTTCGGCATTATTATGGATGGCATGAATAAAGGTAGTGTAATCCCAGTTGTTGATGATGTTGTAAGGACCATCGTGGATCTTACTTTCAGTGGTATAACCACCATTGTTTATTAAGATGATAATACTCTTTTGCCCCCATCTCAACATTGTTGACACCTCTTGTCCCCCCACCTGCAACACAAATATTGTAATTATATATATATATATATATATATAGCCTTGTGTCTGAATGGCAAATTAAACCTGGAAGCTTCCGTCTCCCATGCAAGCAATAACTCGTTTATGAAGAGCAGCTTGTGCATATCCCAGAGTTGCACCTATTGACCAACCTATTGAAGCATACAACAATTGACTTTCATACCTGCATGAATTATATCCCAAATGTAAGTGCATGAATTAGTAATTTTACTTATACATTAATTACACTTATATTTTTCATATATATATATATGTATATTAATCTTACCCACATCCTCGGGGCAAGCTTAAGTTCTGACACAAAAACAACGAGTCTCCTGCTTCAGCGATGACTGTCATGTTAGCAGACAAAATCTTCTGTATCCTTTCAGATAAAACTTTTACCCTAACAGCAGATTCTTTAGATGAGGCATTAGGGATTAGATCATCATATCCTTCTGAAACATAAATACGTTGGAAGTTTGTATAAGCAGTTGAATTACGTTTAAGCCTCTTGACTAGTGCTTTAAAGAAGTCCTTCATTAGTACTGATGCATATACAGGTGCATTAGGGATGAGCACACGTTCAGGCTCGACAATTATGGCTTTCGCTTTGTTGAAGACGAGTGAATATCCTACAGTGCTCAGATCGTCGAAAAGAGGACCAGCAAATATTGAAGCATCAGCAATACTTACAGTTTCGTTGCAAAAGGGTGAGCTTGCATTACCCCAGTAGGTTCCGATGAATCGTGGGTGGTGTTCTGGGATTAGACTTTTAGCAGAGGGCATTACAGCAAGCGCATAGCCGCAAGAGTCTGCCAGCTCCATGAAAGCATCACAAGCTTTTGCAGCTCGGAGTCTTGGTCCTGCTATCATCACTGGTTTCACCGCCTTGTTCAAGAGTTCTGCAGCTGTCTCTACTGCCAGTTCTAATGCCATTTGATTACTCATTCTGGAAGACATCATTCAAAGTTACTGAGATTTCGTTACTCATCTCTCATATATACATGTACATGTGTATATGTGCTGTTTAACATCCAACAGAAACTTCATGACAACTACTACTACTATAAGAAATAAACAAGTAGTATTACTTTGGAGAAGAGAAAAGCGGAAGTGGATCATGATTGAAACTAAAATGAGGGATGGCCACCAAATTACAACTGATACTGATGTATACAGGCTTGCTTTCTCTTAAGCAGATTGCAATTGCTGTGTCTATCTGTTCTTGGGCATCAGCCAAGTCATTTATCACCACCTACGATTATATATATTTAAAAACAAAAAACTGAAATACTGTAAAACATAGATATATATATATATATGCAGGATATATACAACAGATTTTATGCTGTAAAAATAATATTAAGTAGTGGGTAACCTGGTGACAAGTAACAGTTTTGAAACACTGTAGTTCTTGATCAAACTCTGGCAAGCCAATGGTGTGGTGAAGAATCTTTTTAGAGCCGAAATCGTTAGAGTTAGGAGCACCCACAATACAAATTATAGGTAAGCTTTCGCTGTAAGCACCAGCAATGGCATTGAGTAAACTAAGCCCACCAACGGTGAAGGTGACAACACATGCGCCAACTCCACGAGACCTCGCATACCCATCAGCTGCATAGCCAGCATTTAGCTCGTTGCAGCACCCAACCAAGTTCAGCCTAGCCTCTGCAACAAAATAATCGAGGAGGCTGAGATTAGAGTCACCAGGAACAGAAAAGATATCGGAGACGCCAATCTCTACAAGACGCCGAGCTAGGTGACGACCTATTGTGGCTTCAGGCAACTTATTTTCGTTCTGGATATTCATTTTTGGAGCGCCATTATCAGTGCTGGTGTTGAGCTTGTACGTTTCATTGTTCTGCGTTTTGATATACATTCCCGAACTAAAACGGCTTAACTGGATACGATGGAAGGGATAAGGCAGTGAGGCCTTATTACACTTCAATGGAGATAAGCATATCAGAGGTCTGAAAGTAAGGCCAGCCTCCATTTTTAGCTGCGGACGTAAATAACAAGAGTAAATCAAGGTGGAATTCTTTCTTGCAAGAATCCTACCTTCTCTACGGAGCTTTTGATATATATATATATATATATATATACATATATATCTGGTATCATTGGATACGAAATAAAATTAGGGAGATTTTTTGTACTTTTTTATTGAAAAAAATAATACTCATCCCGAAGTTCAATGAACTGATGAATTACTGCCACATGCTAAAGCTGTTTATTTATTAAGCCAACTGGTTCTTATGATTTTTAACTTTTAATAATGTGTTCCATAAGTACTTTTACGTTCACATCTGTTTCTGCATAACAAAAATTCGTAGAACTGAACATTTTTTCCATCTATAATGAGAAGCTTCTTAAGAAGTAGGCATGGAAACTCTTCTTACATGGGCATAAGGATATACATGATCTGTTATTAATGAGTACTAGAGTATAATTAATTGGTTACAATATTTCCTATTATTAAGTCTCTGTAGTGTATTATTTAAGATAGTATTATAGCTAGAGATCTAATATTTGAATTCTATTGTTTTATTTGTATTAAAAATTAATTTTATATAATCTTTAAAATATATTTATTTTTTAGTTCAATAGACTTACAAATGAAAAAACGAGGTTAAATAATAAATTACACTATTTTATATAAATTTAAGTTTCTAAAATAATCTGCTCAATATATTATTAAGAATTAAGAACCATTTAAAAGTCTGTTATAAGAAATTTATCATCTCTTAGTAAATGAATAAATATATAAACTTTCACCCCAATTGTTATGATTGTATGATTCAAAAGTTAGAGATTTAGATTTATTAGACACTTCTAAAGAATTGTTCAGGAAGCAGAAAGTGATACAAATCAACATAAGAGATTAAGATTTATTAGAGTCTTCAAAAGAATTGTTAAAGAAGGAAAAAGAGATACAAATCAACAGAAGATCTTTGCCCTTTAGTTGGACACACTTAATGCCTACTTTTCCCCCATG